CTCTCTCTCTCTCTCTCTCTCTCTCTCTCTCTCTCTCTCTCTCTCTCTCTCTCTCTCTCTTTCCTTTTTCCCCATATCCTAAGATGGTTTTTTGTTATTACTTGGACGCCTCCTACTCCCTCTCCTTTTCCCTCCTCCTCTTTCCTCTTCCCCTCCTGTCGGACTTACTCATGCCCAGACTTGCTCATACTCAGACTTACTCATACACAGACTTATTCATACTCAGACTTACTCATACTCAGACCTACTCATACTCAGTCTTACCCACACTCCGACATACTCATACACAGACTTACTCATACACAGACTTACTCACACCCATACGTACTCATACACAGACTCACTCATACCCAGGCTTACTCATACACAGTATTCGTCATATTCAGACTTGCTCATGCCCAGACGTACACGTACACAGACTTTCTCATGCACAGACCTATTCATACCCAGACTTTCTCATACACAGACTTACTCATACACAGACTTACTCATGCTCAGGCATACTCATACTCAGACCTACTCATACTCAGACTTACTCAACACACATCAGATTTGGAGGATGTCTCAAGCGGGGCGCTGGTTTCAGCACCCCTAAGGGGAGCCGCCAGGGGTGTTGCACGGGCTCGTTCGCGGCCATTTTGTGGGGATGTCTCAGGCGGTTTGCTTGTTTCTGGGCTCAACATCCTTCGCTTGGAGAGCAGATTGTGAGGATGTCTCAGCGGGGCGCTGGTTTCAGCACCCCTAAGGGGAGCCGCCAGGGGTGTTTGCACGGGCTCGTTCGCGGCCATTTTGTGGGGATGTCTCATGAGGTTTGCTTGTTTCTGGGCTCAACGTCCTTCGCTTGGAGAGCAGATTGCGAGGATGTCTCAGGCGGGGCGCTGGTTTCAGCACCCCTAAGGGGGGCCGCCAGGGGTGTTTGCACGGGCCCGTTCGCGGCCATTTTGTGGGGATGTCTCAGGCGGTTTGCTTGTTTCTGGGCTCAACATCCTTCGCTTGGAGAGCAGATTGTGAGGATGTCTCAGGCGGGGCGCTGGTTTCAGCACCCCTAAGGGGAGCCGCCAGGGGTGTTGCACGGGCTCGTTCGCGGCCATTTTGTGGGGATGTCTCAGGCGGTTTGCTTGTTTCTGGGCTCAACATCCTTCGCTTGGAGAGCAGATTGTGAGGATGTCTCAGGCGGGGCGCTGGTTTCAGCACCCCTAAGGGGAGCCGCCAGGGGTGTTTGCACGGGCTCGTTCGCGGCCATTTTGTGGGGATGTCTCAGGCGGTTTGCTTGTTTCTGGGCTCAACAACCTTCGCTTGGAGAGCAGATTGTGAGGATGTCTCAGGCGGGGCGCTGGTTTCAGCACCCCTAAGGGGAGCCGCCAGGGGTGTTTGCACGGGCTCGTTCGCGGCCCTTTTGTGGGGATGTCTCAGGCGGTTTGCTTGTTTCTGGGCTCAACATCCTTCGCTTGGAGAGCAGATTGTGAGGATGTCTCAGGCGGGGCGCTGGTTTCAGCACCCCTAAGGGAGCCGCCAGGGGTGTTTGCGCGGGTCCGTTCGCGGCAATTTTGTGGGGATGTCTCAGGCGGTTTGCCTGTTTCGGTGCTCAACATCCTCGTCTTGGAGACAGAATTGAGAGGATGTTCTCAGGCGGGAGCTGGCTTTCAGCACCCCTAAGGGAGCCGCCAGGGGTTTGCCACGGGCTCGTTTTCGGCTGCGTTTTTGTTGGGATGTCTTAGGCGTTTGCTTGTTCCTCTTCTGGCTACAACATCCTTCGCTGGAGAGCAGATTGTGAGTGATGTCTCAAGGCGGTGCTCTGGTTCGCCGCCCTAAGGGGGCCGCCAAGGGGTGTGTCACGGGCTCGATCTCGGCCATTTATGCGGGGATTCTCAGGCGTTTGCTTGTTTTTGGTCTCAACATCCTTCTCATGGAGATCAGACAAAGATTGTGAGATTCTCATGCGGGGCGGCTGGTATCACACCCTAAGAAGAGCCGCCAGGGGTGTTTTGCACGGGTTCGTTCGTTGCCATTTTGTGGATGTCTCAGCGGTTTGCTTGTTTCTGGGCTCAACATCCTTCGCTTGGAGAGCAGATTGTGAGGATGTCTCAGGCGGGCGCTGGTTTCAGCACCCCTAAGGGGAGCCGCCAGGGGTGTTTGCACGGGCTCGTTCGCGGCCATTTTGTGGGGATGTCTCAGCTCAACATCCTTCGCTTGGAGAGCAGATTGCGAGGATGTCTCAGGCGGGGCGCTGGTTTCAGCACCCCTAAGGGGAGCCGCCAAGGGTGTTTGCACGGGCTCGTTCGCGGCCATTTTGTGGGGATGTCTCAGGCGGTTTGCTTGTTTCTGGGCTCAACATCCTTCGTTTGGAGAGCAGATTGTGAGGATGTCTCAGCCGTCATTGCCCGGCTCAAGTAGACTCCTGCAGCGCTATTGTAGTCGACCGCTCATGAACAGACGCTCACCACGGCATGACATAAAACATGAGATACACATATGGGGAGCTCCACGCAGTGAGTAATTCTTATTATCTCTCTCTCTCTCTGTCTCGCTCTCTCTCTCTCTCTGTCTCTGTCTCTGTCTCTGTCTCTGTCTGTATCTCTCTGTCTCTCTCTCTCTCTCTCTGTCTCTGTCTCTGTCTCTGTCTCTGTCTCTGTCTCTGTCTCTGTCTCTGTCTCTCTCTCTCTCTCTCTCTTTCTCTCTCTCTTTCTCTCTCTCTCTCTCTCTCTCTCTCTCTCTCTCTCCTCCCCTTTTTTTTCTTCTCTCTCTATATATATATTATATATTTATATTATATATATAGATATATATAATATATATATATATATTATTATATATATATCACCCCCCCCCCCGCGATGCTTGGCGCGCCGCTCGGGGCGCCCGCTTCGCCCGAGGGCTAGTCGATTTGCGCCGGCGGCTCGGCGTCTTTGAGGCGGCGGGGGACCCGCTGCGCTCCCGCCCCTGGGGGCGCGACCTCTTCCGACCTGTGCCCCAGCGATGTGGGGCTGTCATCGTCAGCGTGGATGCGTGCGAGTGCGGGGCCCACTGCCTGGAGCTCGCTGAACTCCCGGGTGCGTTGCTGGGCCTCGGTCGGCTTCGGCTTCGTCGTTCTTGCCGCGGAGGCCGCTATTGCGGCGCCCAGGGCGGGGAAGTCACGGTGGCCCCCGCGGGGCCCCGCGCGCGCACCATGGCGTCGACTGCGGCAGATGCGCATCGCCAGGCCCCGGTAGCCTCATCTGGCGCGGCGCTCTGCTCGCCGTCCGCTGGCGTTCTGGCTCGAGCCGTCTGACGCGCCGCCTTGCAGGCGGGCGTCCGCCCTCCAGATCTCCGCCGAGCCATGGCAGACATCGCCTCGGCCTCAACCTCGCGCGGAGCTCGCCTGGGCGCTCGGGGGGGCGGTTGCGCAGCGGGGCGCGGCCGGCGGCGCCTTGCGTTGCTCCGAGCCGCTGGCGCTGACCTCTCCTTCCGCGGGCCTCGGCGCGACCGTCTTGCCGACGGGCGCCCTCGGGGGCGGCCGCTCGGCGTTCGAGGGCGGGGCGGGCGAGGCCGCCGCCGGGCCCCGCCGCGGCGCCCGGGCCCGGGCGCGCGAGGGGCCGCGGGCGGCCACGGCGGCGCCCGCCTGGCCAAATCGCGCCGCCGCGAAGGCCGCGCGCGCTGGCTGGCGAAACGCCGCCCTGGCCACCGCGCCCGCGTCCGTCGCCCGCGCCGCCCGTCAGAGACGCATCAAGACCAATAGCGTCTCCGCCAAGACGTCCGGGGTCGACGGGCGGTGGCGCGAGCGGGTGGCCCGCCTCCACGGCCCCCCGCCGCCGCGTGACCAGGCAAAGCTCGACCCGATCTTCGGGGCGCGACTGGCCGGGCTGCGCTTCGGTTCGGCTTTCGATCAACGCAGGCCGCGCGATGATGGGGGCCGTCGCTTTTAGCCAGAACGCCAACTTCGCTGGCGAGACGAGCGCGCCGAGGCCCGTGCGCGCGCTGCAGGGCTTGCGCGTGGAGGGGCCCGAGTTGCCCCGCGACCCGCGCCCGCGGATCGCCTTCGCGCTCGTGGCCGAGCAGATCGCGAAGGGAGGCAGGGACGGCGTCGCGGCCGCGCGGGCCGCCGTGGTCTTACAGGATCCTCCAGGTCGTCAGAGGCACTCGACATCCGCCGCGGAGACGTCGCCGACGTCTCGAGGCGCGGGCCCGTGGCCGCCGCAGTGGCCCCCGCGCTGCCGCGCGAGCCTGGCGGGGAGCAGCAGTCGATGGACCCCGCCGAGAGCGGCTAGTTCGACGACGCCGCCACCCTGCGCGACTTGATATTCATCGACGCTGGTCGCACCTACCCGCTAAAGCTAATGGAGACGCTCCTCGCCGAGGCCGCCTCGGGCAACTCGTCTAGGCTCTTCCCTTCGCTCCCATTCGCGATGTTAGAGAAGTTGCTCAGGGGCGCAGCCGCCGCCGCCGAGCATGATCATGCGAAGCTGACTCCGCGCATGCTGCGCCGCGGCGGGCCCAGCGAGGGCGCCCCGGCCGGCCGCCGCTCGCTCGCCCAGGTCCAGGAGCGCGGCCGCTGGGAGGCTAAAGCCTCCGTCCGCAACTATGCCGAGGGCGGCCGCGTCCTCCACCTGGTGCATGTCGCGTACGTGACGCAACCTACGCTCTGCAATCCATGCTGTGCAATCGATGTGGTGCAATCGATATGGTTGGAATCGATTGGATTGCCATCGATTCGATTGTCATTTTTTTGCTTGCGCCGGGGGGGGGGCGCGGCCTGGCGGCGGCCGCGGGCGGCGACGCGGCGGCGACGGGGCGGCGACAGCGGCAACGAGACGGCGGACCCGACAAACGTGCCCAGATAACGGGCGGTGACAAGGCGGCGACGACGGCCGCAAGGCGGCGGATCTGACAAAGGAACCCAGGCGACGAACGGGGGCGGGCGGATAACGGGGCGGCGACGGCGGCAAGAAAACAGCGGACCCGATAAACGGGCCTTGTTCCTTAGAAGACCAGCGACGCTCCCTGAGTGCAAGTGCTGCTCGAGTGGTATAGGTACATGTATATGTATATGTATATACATAACGGCGCACCAGGGTCCAGGCCCCGGGGGCCGCGACCTCTACCGCAAATGTGTGTGTGTGTGTGTGTGTGTGAGTGAGTGAGTGAGTGAGTGAGTGAGTGAGTGAGTGAGTGTGTGAGTGAGCGTGTGTGTGTGTGAGTGAGTAAGTGATCTGGCAGCGCGAGAGCCCAAAAGTGGCGACAGTTACAGGAATTTGATGACCCGCTCGGATTAGTAACGTGATCCGCGGGCCCCATAGGGAGGGGGCTCCCGCTTGAGACATCCTCGCAATTCACTAACAAACGAGGCCTATGTGGCCTGGGAATGGCGTTCTGGCAGCGCGAGAGCCCAAAAGTGGCAACAGTTAAAGGAATTCTTTACGCTTCGCGTATCCCCACCAGCCCATCTCACAGCAACAACTCTTGCGAAGCATGCCGACAGTCGTGTTTTTCAGGCGTGTGTCCGCTTGGCCCCGCATATCTCCCCTGTTCCTCGTTCCTCCCGCCTCCTTGTACATCTTCCTTGTGGGGGGAGCGGGAGAAGGACGAGGCGGAGGAGGAGGGAGAGACAGCGCTCCTCGTGGTTTGAGTCGTTTGGGGTTTCTCGTCCTGGTGTGAGTCGTTCGGGCCCTTCTTCCTGGTGTGAGTCGTTCGGGCTCTTCGTGGTGTGAGTCGTTCGGGCTCTTCGTCCTGGTGTGAGTCGTTCGGGCTTCTCGTGGTGTGAGTTGTTCGGGCCCCTCGTCATGGTGTGAGTCGTTCGGGCCCCTCCTCCTGGTGTGACTCGTTCGGGCTCTCGTGGTGTGAGTCGTTCGAGGCCCGCGTACTGGTTGGTTTTCGGTGTGGTCGTTCGGGCTACTCGTGAATTCAGGGGTTCGTGCCGCTTGTCCTGGTATATGAGGTCGTTCGGGCCTTCTTGTGGAGGGGTCGTTCTCGGTCGGTGGTGAGGAGTCGTTCGGGCCCTGTTCTGGGTTCGTGCGTCGTTCGTGGGGCTCCTCTTGGGGCCGCTTGGGGGGCCTCTTGGGGGCCTCTTGGGGGCTTCTTGGGAGCCTCTTGGGGGCTCTGGGGGCTTCGTGGGGGTCTCTTGGGGGCCTGTTGGGAGCCTCTGGGGGCCTATTGGGGGCCTCTTGGTGGCCTCTTGGAGGCCTCTTGGGAGCCTCCTGGGGGCATCTTGGGGCCTCTTGGGGGCCTCGTGCGACCTCCTCAGAAGCGCAAATGAGCGCTACCCCCTGAGAAGGACAAAATGAGCCCAAAACCATCGTACCATGAATGGTTCTGCTAGGAAGGAAGATGAGCGCGGCCCCCTCGGGAGGCCAAAATGGGGCCAACACCCTCGTAAAAGCAAGGGTTTTGGCTTCACAGAAGAGGAGGGGGCTACAAGAGCGCCCCCCCGTCGGGGCCAGAATCCTCGTGAGGGTCGTCGTTTTTTGGCCCTCCCAGGCGTCGAAAAAGACCCCCCTGACCACCCGCGGGACTCCCTGTCCAGGCCCAGGGGGAGGGGGTAGGGGGAGGGGTAAACCCCTCCCCGAAGGGGAAGAAGGGGGTTGGGGGGTTGAGGACAGAGGGGGCTCTCTAAACCACTCACGCCCAAAGGGCTGGTGGGATTTGATGACCCGCTCGGATTAGTAACATGATCCGCGGGCCCCATAGGGAGGGGGCTCCCGCTTGAGACTTCCTCGCAATTTACCCACAGACGAGGCCCAAGGCGAGTGAGTGAGTGAGTGAGTGACTGACTGATATGTGAGTTCATGAGCGTGTGCAGATGAGTCAGTGCGTGAGTGAGTGAGTGGTGGGTTCCTGTTCCTGCGCGGGGTGTCCAGAGAAAACAAGAACCCCACTTTGGAAATGGGGAATCAGAACAGTCATGATACGAAAAAGAAAGAGAATACTAATGATCATATTGAGATGAAGGAGAATATTAAGACAAGTAGAACTTATGAAAGATAGGAGTACTACTAATACGAAATACTAATAACACTAATAAGCAGGAGGAGGAGGAGGAAGCGGAGGAGGAGGAGGAGGAGGAGGAGGAGGAAGAGGAGGACGAATGCCCTAGGAGGCCCCAGGAGGTCCCGGGAGGCCCAGAAGGCTTCAAGAGGCCCCAAGAGGCCCCAGGAGGCCCCAGGAGCAAGCAGGAGGCCGAAGGAGCAGGCAGGAGGAGGAGGAGCGAGGGGGGCAGGAGAGGAGGCCGGGAGGAGAGGCGGCGGAGGAGGAGGCGGAGGAGGAGGAGGAGGAAAGGGTGGAGGAAATGCTGCCCAGGAGGCCCCATTAGGTCCCGGGCCGCCCCAGGAAAGCTCCAGGACGGTCAGGACGGCCCCACAATAGCCCCCAGGAGGCCCAGGGGATGGAGGGAGCCGAACGCGAGGCAGGAGGCGGGAGGAGGTAGGAGGAGGAGGAGGAGGAGGAGGAGGCACGCCAAGGTAGGAGGAGGAGGAGTGAGGAGGCGGGGAGGAGGAGGAGGAGGAGGAGGAGGAGGAGGAGGGAGGTTACGGAGGAGCTAAGAGCGGAAGCAGGAGCAAGGAGAAGGAGGACCAGGAGGAGGGGAGGGCGATGGAAGGACGAGGAGGAGGCGGCGGAGGTAGGAGGATTGGGACATGCGGGAGAGGAGGGTGGGCGAGGGCGAGGAGGAGGAGGCGGAGGGGAGGAGGAGGCGGAGGAGGAGGAGGAGGCGGAGGAGGAGGAGGAGGAGGCGGAGGAGGTGAGGAGGAGGAGGCGGGGGGGGAGGAGGAGAAAAGGGGTAGTAGGAGGAGGAGGAGGAGGCGGCGGAGGCGGAGGTGGAGGAGGAGAGGAGGAGGAGGAGGGAGAGGGAAAAAGGAGGAGGAGGACAGGGAGGAGGAGGAGGACAAGGAGGAGGAGGTCAAAGGAGGAGGAGGAGGATGAAGGAGGCAGGGGTAGAGGGAGGGGGAGGAGCAGGCAGGATGAGACGGAGGAGGCAGGAGGATATCCCCAGGCAATTCAAAGATATTATCATGCGGTGTCCTACCGTCGGAGTATTTTTCATCGCATTTGGCCAATCGGGCCCCTCGCGCCGCACGTCGGCATCATTCGATCGCCCTTGCGCGACTGTTGGGGGGGCACGATCCGTGTCAACAATTGCCATGCGGGCCATTCTCGCGCGTCGGCCGCGCGCGCATGCTGAACTCCCCTCAAAGCCTGCATCACCGACGCGAGGGCGCCGTCATCGTCGTCGGCGTGATCAGCGCGGTCACTGGCCTTGCCATCGTCTTTGTCATCGTCTTCACCAGCATCGCTACCATCATCATCATCATCATCATCATCATCATCATCATCATCATCATCATCATCATCATCATCATCATCATCATCATCATCATCATCATCATCATCATCATCATCATCATCATCATCATCATCATCATCATCATCATCATCTCGTCATCATCATATCACCATCTTCATCATCCTTTCATTTATACTCATCCTTATATATCATTGAGTATCATAATCATACTCATAAATCATCATCATCATCATCATCATCATCATCATCATCATCATCATCATCATCATCATCATCATCATCATCATCATCATCATCATCATCATCATCATCATCGCGTCTACCGTCGTCGACGGTGCCATGATACCGCGCCCGCCCAACTGGCCGACTCGCATTAAAATGCCCGCTGGGAAGTGCCCAGCGGTCAGCGCCACCGCGGCCGCGTCAGCAACGCCAAACTATCTGGCCGCTGCGCGCGCGAGCATGCGTGGGCTAGCGCGGCCGCAGAAATGCGCCAGCCAAATCCAAGCATTCATCGCAATCGCCGCCGCATGGGGTTTGCAAACCAAGTTGCGGGCGGGTGGGCGGGATGACTGCGTGAGCAGTGGAGTGGACAACTCACCGCGAACAACAACTATTTGCACCACATTGATTTCACCACATTGACGTATGTTGCGCCACATACCGTTTTCGAACACATGTTTGGGGTCCACGCTGGGTAACATACATCTATCGATATGCTCCTGGACCGTCTCGGGGCGCTTGTGGACCGTCTTGGGGACCTCATGCGGTCCTCTTTGGGGCTTCTGGAGGTGGTTGATAGCTGGCTCAGCGTTTAGATAGCTCACGCGACACACCCCAGGAATTTCCCAACGCGGCCAGGAAGCGGGGTGTGTGGCCCATTAAACCCTCGCAGTGGAACTCGTGAACACTGTCAACCGACTGATGAGCCGTGGGGGACTCCATTACGTGCTGATGGCATGGTGGTGGCAGCTTGAAAGGATGAGGTATACAGGATGGATGGATAGGGAGAGTAGGAAGGGGAGGGGGCGGGGGCAGGAGGGATGCCAGTCCTTGGCGCTGCCGCGAGGTGCTCAAGGATGGCAAACAAAAGATTGACCGCAAGACCTTGGGCTGCTTTGACCGACAGGTCCCCAAGGAGGAAGCGACTGGAGAGGACTGCCCTTTGCGCGCAAGCCATGAGGAGGACGAGGAGGCGGAGGAGGATGATTAGGTGCAAGAGGTGGTGCACTTTAATGTCGCCGTGGATCCTGACCCCTGAACGTTCCAGCTTGTGGAGGCTTCCGGAGGCCCCAACGAGGGCCAAGCGCTGAAACATGTTTTGAGAAACGTCCAACGACCTGCCTCCTCGATCCTTGATGGTTTTGCGACTGGAGCGGTACTGACACTATGTTCACCGCCAGGCACCAGGAAGGAGGTTGCGCGTACGGATGGCGATATAGCGATTGCAGCGGTGGGCTCGCTTAATTGTGGAGAGCGGAAGAAGGGGGATGGTCGCTGAGGGCAGAGGGCACGGCGCCTCAAGTCGGCACCGCCCAAACATTCTAATGCCACATGTGCGTCGGCGAAGCAAGGGCGACGCGCACGTTCGGAAGTCTCATAGTATGAGGCTCCGAGGCGGGAGTTTTCTTGCCATACCGCTCCGGAAACTATCTACTATCGAAGACGCCTACGGCGAATCACCGCCGCCCCCTGCCTTTTTGGAAGCGCCTATGTGGCCGAACGTTGAGGCCAGACCTGCCAAGCTATCGGACCACGTGTTCCCCGAATCGGTTTGGAAAGCCTTCGGGGAACACGTGGGCATCTTGAAGGTCATCTTGGCCGTCTTGGAGGCCTCTTGGGCAAGCTTTGGGCGATCTCTGGGGCTTTTTGGGCCGTCTCGGGCTAGCTTCGAGCCAACTTCGGCCATCTTGGGGTTGTGGGTATATTTTTTCCCTGGCACGTCTGACGCCGTCGGGAGCCGTTTTGGGGGCCTTTCTGGGCCAACGGGGGACCCTCTTGGGGCGCTCCAGGGCCGTCTTGGAGGCCATCTTGGGCGTCTGGGAGGCCATTTTGGGCGTGTTGGAGGCCTCTTGGGCCCTCTTGGGGCCCTCTAGGGGCCATCTTGGAGGCCACTTGGGCCATCATGGGGCTCTCTTGGGGGCCTCTTGGGCGATCTTGGGGGCTTCTTGGGCCGTCTTGAGCCGTCGGAGAGCCGAAAAGGCGCAAATGCCAGAATCCTTCAAAAACCAAGGGAAAATCAATGATTTTGGCCTCTTCGGACTCTCCTGGAGGACCTCTTGGAGGCCTCTTGGGCCGTCTGGGAGGCCTCTGGGGGGCCTCTTGGGCCGTCTTGGGCCGTCTTGGACTCTCTTGGGCCGTTTTGGAGGCCGTCTTGGACCATCTCGGGCGGACTTGGAGGCCATCTTGGGCCATCTTCGCGATTTTTTGAGGATGTCCCGAGCGAAACGGCCGTTTTTTGGAGGATTTTTTTCCGGATTGAGGTCCTTTCGGCTTCCTCCCGGGACCCCGGCGGGACGGGCCGAAGCCCACTGGAGAGTTCTTTTAGAAAAAGAACCAGAACCAAAACCTGAATCATCCAGCACGCCGTGCACCCCTGCAAGCAGGGGGCGGCGGATCTCATGGCCTTCGGCCCGTCCCGCCACGGTGCCTGGGTTGTGGGTATGAAGCCTATTGGATGTTCGTTGGGATCTCGTGGGATGGGTGGCCTCTCGGAAGCCTCTTGGAGGCAGTTTTGATGCCTCTTGGGAGCCGTTTTGGGACTTCTTGGGGCCTCTTATGGGCCTTTTGGGACCCCCTTGGGGCCCCTTGGGGCCCTGTTGGGGAGCTCTTGGGGGCCTCTTGGGGGTCTCCCGGGGCGGAAGGCTCAGATTTTATGTTCGCGCTCCCTCACCTGAGCTTCTTTTGGGGCCCTCTTTGGCCGTCTTGGGCGCCTCTTGGGCCAGCTTCGGGCCCTCTCGGGCCATTTTGGGGCCCTCTTGAAGGCTTCTTGGGCTGTCCAGCGTCTAGCGGCGATCTTGGGTGCCTCTTGGGCCGTCTCGGAACGTCGGGAAACAAACTGCAAACACCCAAGGACAACCCTTTGTTTTGCCTCTTGTGGCCCTGTTGGGAGGCCTTTTGTAGGCCTCGTGGGACGTGTTGGGCCGTCTGGTGGCCATCATGAGCATCTTGGAACGATCGTTCGGCGACACGGGGCCCTTTTGGACTGTCATCGGGGCCTGTTTGACCCCTCTTGGCCCGTCTTGGGGCCCTGTTGTGCCCTGAACAGTCACGCGGGGAGGCGGGGGAGCCCAGGGGCATGCGCCAAGCCCCAAGATATTTCGGATGTTTGGGTCCGGGCCCCTTCAAGGCTCTTCAGGATTGCGGACTGAGGCTCCAGGGATTAGTCTGGGGACCAGGACACATTTTCAGGAAATCATTCGCCGTGTCAGCGAGCGAGGCAAAACAAGAACGAACGCATCCGCGGCCGTTCTGGCTCAATGGCGTCGACACCAGGATATGATCAGCTAGTATCATGACATGACTGTGGTGGCTATTGCGTATAGGGAAAGGTCTTGCCTGTTTCTACATCAACCTTAGGGTTCACCATCCTCGGATGGTTTCTTTTTTACTTGGTAGCGGAGCTGGTTACACGCTTGTGTGGCTAGCTCTGTGGCCAGCAACTCTCCACGGCACAGTCTGGTCATCCATTTTGGAGTACCATGCGCCGACGTCTCTTCGGGGAACAGAGCCGGGAATCTGGCACGTACAACCCGGTTGCGGGCCAATGTTCCGCAGTAGGCTGGTATCTAGCATTGGAGCTACATGTACCAGTGCAGCGCCTCCTACCACCAACCAAATGCCTATTTCGGTTATAGGCATATACAGCACGGTTCTACGTTTGTACGTTTGTCGCGATGCGGACATTGAGCCTGGCAACAGGTACAGCTACGCCGATATACCGTTCGATCACTACGCTAAACATGGATGCGTGCAGCCAAGACCCGTACGACGTTTAACCGACGATCACCACCCACACTACAACCAGAACAACCGAAGGAGCAGGATACCTTCGGTCCCTATCTTCGTATACCCCATATTTGGTATCATAAGGGTTATCTTGGGGTTTGTTGTGGGGCACATGCAGCGTGGTGCAGATGACGCTACACTTACCAGAGGACCTCGCTGTGACTCTGCGGGCAACGCGTTCAGGACCTACGTCCAGGAGGTTCGCGCATGGCTTAGCGTTGCTTGCGGCCGTTGTACACTGCAACAACAAGTGGCTGCCATCCAACGAGTCTTCCCAGGACTGGTACGCATCACAGCAATGCGCATACCATCACATGCCATCAGCCACGGTGTACATATCAAAAGTGTTAGAAGCGACCCAGTGACACACACCATGTATCTATTGAGTGGCAAGTTCGAGCACCTAGCATACGAACGCCAATTCGACTCGGGCACGCGACTAATGGGCTTTGGCGTGCCATCTGGAGAATGGATCGACGCGACACTGGCTTGATTTGATCTGACCTGGTTAGAGTCTGAACATGTTGGATTTGAGATCCATAATTTTCAGATCTTAACGTGCTCTTCAGATGTGGGCCGGACAGCCCGAGCATCGCAGATGCTGCGCCCGCTAGACCACCGAACGCACAGGAACCATGTCGAATTGAATGCGCTACTTGAGCGCGCGCGATCATCTGGCGACCTGGCCGAGCGCCCCCCCGGGAACGCTGGCGGGGCGTCTGGGCGAGGGCGCGGCAGCGCGTCCCCTTCCACTCGCGCCCAGACAGACCATGCATTCCTTGGCCGTTGCGCGTCGATGCAGCCGCTGGCCACCACGCATGGTTAGGCAGCTCCGCTGAAGGCTCAGCCCTCTTCGCCGGCCGGGCGCCCGGCAGACGGGCAGCTGGCGGCGCGGGCAGGGCCTGGGCACCGCCGACGAACCCAGCGTTGCATACCGCCGCCCTTCGGGGTCAAGATGGCCAGGCTGAACCCGTCGCGCCGCTTGAATGCGGCGCAGACGCCGGCGCCGAAGTTTCAGAAGGGGCATCATCAATCGATCAATCAGACATATTTACACGCATCTTACAGATGACCAGAAAGGAGAATTCCTATATTGCGCCATGCGCCATGCCAGGAGGAGCGGCGGGCGCGCGCGCGGGGCGGGGGGGCGGGGCGGGGGGGGGGGGGGCGCGAAGAGGCCTGCGCGTCGCGCGCGAAGAGATGACAGACGCGCGCTGCGCGCCGAAGGGCGGAGGAAGAGCACTGGGGGCATGGGGGGCGGGGGCCCCGGCGGGGGCGCGGCGAGGGCCTCGCCTCATTCTTAGCGTCCTTCTGTAACGGCGAGCACGACGGACTGTTCTCTGGAGACGCAGGTGAGAGCAGAGGTCGCGGATCCACTGGCAACGGGAAATGCAGACATCTGAGCCGCATAGGGATGGCCGTCGCGCGCCGCGCAACGCACTCGGCCCCCCGGCCACTTTGCGTCGCAGCGCAGCGAGAAAGGGTGACGGGGATCCCGCGGCGCATTCTGGTATAGCATTTTTCAGAGCGCGTGGATTGCGGCCAATTCTTTCACGCGGCGAACCAGCGCATTTAACCGTGATATCCTCTTGCAATGATGTTTCAGACAGCGCTGTGGGGTTTATGTGGCGTCTTTGCGATTCTCCTGCGCCATGCTTGCAGATGCTCGCGACGTTCTGGCTGCGGGCTGGACTTGGCGACGTTCCCGGGCCTTGGCCGCGGCGGCGCGATGGGGATCGGCGATTCGCCGCCTGCCCCGCCGTCGCCCCCAGCATCGACTGCGCCAGCCGCTTGGCGGGAGATCGACGCCGTGCTCGGCAGCGAGCCGGGGCAACAGGTTCTCGGCGCGTTGCCCAGCGACGGCTTTGTCTACCCATTCATTTCGGGCAATCCGCAGGCCCCTCGTCGCCTCGCCATTTGCGGCCAGAGCGCTGCGAGCGCCCCGCCTCGTGGTGGAGGGGGCGTCGACGACGGCGTCGCATGGTGCTGCATGGGCTGGGGGGGCGCAGGTCGCGACCGTAGCGCGGGGCCGCGAGCTCGCTCCACGGGCCCGCGACAACGCCTTGATGGCGGTCGCTGGTGGGGCGCTGCGTCGCTGGCTTGGAGAGATCGACGCGGCGGCGTCGTCCTCGCCCAGTTCGCCCGCGCTGCGAAGGCGGAACAGATGCGCCGCGCCGAGGGGGCTACCGTTGAGGATCGCGAAATCAGCCGCGTCTTTGAGTATGAAACACACGTGCGCCACAGGCCTGGCTGCCCCATGGGCTCAGAGTCCGGGGGCGTCAAAAGGGGCGCCACCCCGCGGGGCCCGGGGCACGGTGCCCGTGGCGCGCGGCACCTGGGCCCCGAGAGCCCCGCCGCCGCCGCGGCCGATGGCGGAGTCGCGCCCAGCATCGGGCTCAGGCGCGGCATCTTCCAGCCAGGCAATTGGCAGGGCAGGCCAGTCCGAAGTGCCACCATGCAAGGCACCTCCTGGGGGGGCGCGATCCGCGCGCGCCTCTCCTGCGCGTGGCCAGGCGCCTGGCTCTGGCGATCTTGCGCCGGTGCCATTCCCGGGCAGGCCCGCAGGGGCCCTTGCAACGGCTCCTCCTGCGGGGGCGCCTGCCGGCGCCGGGCCAGATGGTGCGTCGCCTGCCGATGGCAGTAGTCTTTGCGAGGGCGCCGCGCAATGCCCAGCTCCGCGCCGCCGAAACTACAATATTCCACATGGGCGGGGGCGACAGGGGATCGCCAGTCGAGGCCCATCAACCTCGAGGCGCCGATAGACGAGCAGCGACGTTTCGGGCTTCATGGCGCTCCTGGGCGGCGCGCCGTACAGCGCGCAGGAAACAATGCCGAAGCGGCTGTCTCGAGCATGGCGGCGCGACCCTTCCCGCGGAGACCAGCTGGACCGCCGTTTCGTCGAGTGTCGCGCGGCGGGTCCGCTGGCTGGGCGGAAGTGAACGACGCGATCAGCAACTGGCAAGGCCAGCGGGGCGCCCGGGCGCAGAGGGCGCGGTCGAAGCCGCGTTCAATGACATGGGCGCACTGCTCGAAAGGTACGCCCCGCCCTGCGTCGCCTGGGCGGTGGGCGGGAAGGGCCAGCGGCAGGGCCGCGCCCATGCTAAATTGTATTATCATAGTGGTGGAGGCGACCTGCATTACATTCGGGCCACCAGTGGGCATTGTTTCCCTGGGGTTGGAGCGCTTGTGAGCTCATGCCGGCAAGTTATGCAGGGCCATCGGGGCAACCTTCAAGAGGCGTTCGCGCGCGGGGCGACATGGGGGGCCATCTTGCAGGGGCGAGCACAGGGCCAACAAACGCGGAAGCGGGTGCCCATTCTTTCATGGGCGTCCGCAGCTGCTCCCGGCATGCGCCCCGACGCCGAGATTTGCGCGTTCCCATGGGTCCCGAGGGTGCGGGGGGATAGTCGGGGCATTTCTTGAAACCGGGATCCGCGTGCTGCTGCGCAAAGGCTACAATGACGTTGTCTCTTCGTTCTACATCGCGCACTTGGCGTTTCTTACTGGCCCCCAATTCGGGGGGGGATTCTGGTGCAACCCAATGTTCAATTCGGCGGATGAACATGCTCGTGTCTCACGGACTGAGCTCGACGATGCAAATGCATGGGTTGCGCCCCAGCGCCCGCTCGGCTAATCCGCTGGCTGGTACGCAGAACGTGTTTCGGGGGGGGGGGGGGGCATAGCCACCGAAAACGATCAAAT